CGCTGGTTTTTCTCCAAACTCTGAGCGACTCGCCACGGGACAGCTCGTGCCTGTCCGCCCCCCGCGTGGCCTGCAGGCTGCGGAACGCGCCGTGGAGGCTGGGGGTGGAGCCGCTTCCCTGCTCCGCGGGGCGGGTGTTGGGATCTCTGGCTCAGGTGAGCGGGCGGCAGGGTCGCCAGCTCGGGACCCTCGGCTTGTCAGCTTGTCAGTAGAGGCTCCGGCGGGTCTGGTCGAGGAGGCCCGACGTCCCTCGCCTGGGCCCTCTAGCAGGCCCTGGCTGCGTTGGGCGCTGGTGACAGGGAGCAGAACCCGCCCTGACCTGGCTCCGGAGAACGTAAATGTGGCGGAGTCTGGCGACGGGCCCCTGCTGTGTCTGCTGGGGCCGCGTCCAGCCGGAGGGTCGCGGGACACGAGAAGGAGGACCGGCTCTCACCCCAGATTGCGACCTTATCCGTGCTGTCTCCTCCATGTCGAAGTGAGGAACGGACTCAGCTCTCGGGATCCTGTTTGTGGTGTTAGGTTTGCTGCCCCGGAGACGCCTGCGATGCATATGCGTATAGAGGATGACAACAGTATTTTGTAAGGCTTGTGTGTCATCGGGTTTTGCTTGAGGAGAGTGCATATATGAGTGTGTATCCGTGTGTGCCGTGTCTGTTGCAAAGCCTGGTAGGATGCACTCAAAGACCGGCTTGCGGGAGGTAGGATTTCTCTTTGGCTCTTGTATCTTTGTAATTTTCTGTCTTATCTGCGGTGTATGTCTGTGTCTTCATGTGTAAAGTGATTGTGTACCGCCTGACAAACCGCAGAAGCAGCGGTAAGGCCAGTCTCACTTTTAGGAAGTTGCAAGGGCTTCTGGACAGCCAGGTGGGGGAGTGGAGAGAGCCCCAGGGAGGCTGGAGATGGGGCCCCTGCGTGGGGCGGGTCAGCAGTTCTGCAGCTTCTGTCTTTGGAACACACTCCCGGTTTTCTCCCTGCCGGGGTCTTTGTCACTGTCCGAAGACGGCAGCAGCCTCCCCGCTGCTCTCCCAGCCACAGTCCGGGGGGCTTTCTCAAAAGCGTGAACCAAATCATCTGCTGGAGCGTTGGTGGTTTCTCTTCACTCTCTTCAAGTGCGGAGTGCCGTCACCCCGTGCCACCTCCAGCCGGCCTCCCCCTTTTCTGGCCCTCGGCACAGCTTCTTAGGCACCTCTAGCACGGCCTCGGCTCCAGGAGCCCAGAGCAGATGTGCCCTTCCCTTCTGCAGCCTCCTGCTCTCAGGGTCCTCCTGCCGCCTCTGGGGCTGGCTCAGGGCCTCACGCTTGCCGTCCCCCCCATCACCGCCTCCTCCTCTAGCCCTTCCCTGGTCCCCCACCTCTGAATAAATGTCCCTTTCTCCACTCACTCACAGCCTCACCACGCCCCTGTCTTCCTGTTCCTTACTTCCGGAGTCCCACGTACCTCATTGTCCGTTTGTGGCTTCAGTGTCTGCTGTGAGCGCCTCAGAGTGCTTGTCTCCCTGCTCACTGTTCTGGGTAGCCCGCCCCTCTGACAGTGGCAGCCTCAGTGTTGGTGATGTGTCTCCAGCTGTCCCCGTGCCAGGAAAGGTGTGATTCCTGGTACCTTTCCCTTGGTGCTGGAATGTCACGGCTCTGGAGGAGACAGGAGGAGACCCATCCTCACAGGCGTCCATCCAGATGGTTTTCGGTGGGTGGGCTGGGCTGGGGGCCAGACGCTCACACCCAGCCCTTTTCTTGCGTGATCATGGAGAGTCGGAGTGGGGCCTGCTCATCTCAGGAGAGAGGAGCGGGTTTGGGGCGCTCCGCTCCCTGGTTATGAGCGCCAGTCCCAGGTCACCTTGCCTGCCTAGTCCTCTCTGTCAGGGCACAGGTGGGGGTCCCAGGGTCACACAAAGCGCCTGGCGATGGGAGCTGGGGCTGACTGGATGCCCTGCCCGCAGGTGGTGCAGCTGAAGGCTGTGTTCCCCCACGGCGCCGGCTTCGTGCTGGCCTTCGAGTTCATGCTGTCTGACCTGGCTGAGGTGGTGCGCCACGCCCAGAGGCCGCTGGCCCAGGCGCAGGTCAAGAGCTACCTGCAGATGCTGCTCAAGGGCGTGGCGTTCTGCCACGCCAACAACATCGTGCATCGGGTCAGTCCTGCATAGATGGGGGTGAGGCCTGGGGGCCAGCTCGACTGGGAGGGCCTCGCCCTCGCATCGGGTCAGTCCTGCATAGATGGGGGTGAGGCCTGGGGGCCAGCTCGACTGGGAGGGCCTCGCCCTCGCATCGGGTCAGTCCTGCATAGATAGGGGTGAGGCTTGGGGGCCAGCTCGACTGGGAGGGCCTCACCCTCGGAGGAGGTGTGGCCGGAAGTGGGCAGAGGCTGCAAGCAGCTGGGGCGTGATCCCGGAGGAGGCAGGCATCCTGATCCCGGGGGTGGCCAGCCTGCCAGCCCCACCCCAGGGTCCTCTGGGGAGTGGGAGGGACTGAGGCCTCTGGTACCTCCAGGACCTGAAGCCTGCCAACCTGCTCATCAGCGCCTCAGGCCAGCTCAAGATCGCCGACTTCGGCCTGGCTCGCGTCTTCTCCCCGGATGGCAACCGCCTCTACACGCACCAGGTGGCCACCAGGTGGGAAGGACCGCCCCTCCGGCCCTCTCACAGCTCGTGGAGCTGGGTGACCTCGGTGGGCCGCCTCCTCTCGTCCTGGCTGTGACCACCAGCCCCTTCCCACAGGTGGTACCGAGCCCCCGAGCTCCTGTATGGTGCCCGCCAGTATGACCAAGGCGTTGACCTGTGGTGAGAGCGCTGTGGGGGACGAGGGTGGTGCGGCTCATGCAGTCTGCCTGCTGGGTGGTCTTCCCTGGGGGAGCTTGGGTTGCCCGAGGGCGTCTTCCCGGGCTGGGTGTTCTGGGTATTCTGAGTCGCTGGGGGTTGGGAGCAGGGTGGGGCCAGCTGGGATGGGGATGCAGGTCCCCAGGAAGCCTCCTGGGCCGGACAGGGGTGGTGTGGGGCTCGCGGTGGGAGGTCCTGAGCTGCATGTGCAAAGGTCGGATCCGCGGATGTGCCATCCTGGCCTGAGCGCCCGGAGCCTGTTTCAGGGCGGATGGCTGACAGCGCCCACAGGTCTGCCGGGGGTGCCTGCAGCTGTGTGTGGTGGAGCAGGAGGCTCTGAGGCATCGCGGCCCTCTGGGGCACGGGGTCAGGGGCCAGGGCTTCGGCACTTGGGCCCGTGCCCTGGGCGCAAGATCGGGGCTGGCTTTGGGGGCTTGCCCCGAGGGGCATGGGCTTCCGAGGGGGGTGTGTGTCCCGTGGTGGAGGACTGAGCCGCGGCTGTGTGTCTGCAGGGCCGTGGGCTGCATCCTGGGGGAGCTGCTGAACGGGTCCCCCCTCTTCCCGGGTGAGAACGACATCGAGCAGCTGTGCTGTGTGCTTCGGATCCTGGGCACCCCCAGCCCTCACGTCTGGCCGGTTTGCAGGGCCCTGGGGGGGCACGCTCACCCACTCCCGGCAGCGAGAGGCTGCTCCCTCTCCTGCACCTTCTCTCCCCCCTCAGCCTCCGTGGCTCACAGGGACCGCAGTCCTGGCCCCGCTCCAGGGTGCCGTGGAACCAGGCCCTGCCCTCTGCGCGCACACACACACACACACACACACACACACACACACACACACACACCCCAGGAAGCTGGGCACGGAGCTGGTGTCTGAGAGGGCGAGAGATGGGCAAAGTGGATGTGTGAGCGAATGAATGACGGGCGGGAACGGGGTGAGAGGGAGGGGTGTGTTGGGACTGAGCTGGCGGGGGATGGGCGAGCGAAGGAGAGGGATGGGCTGCGGAGGCAGCAGCGAGGGCGGTGCCCACACACCTGGCCTGTCCCTCTCTGGCCCAGGAGCTCACGGAACTGCCCGACTACAACAAAATCTCCTTCAAGGCGTGGGCGCCCGTGCCCCTGGAGGAGGTGCTGCCCGATGCCTCTCCCCAGGCCCGGGACCTGCTGGGCCGGTTCCTCCTGTACCCCCCTCGCCGGCGCATCGCGGCCTCCCAGGTAAGCCAGAGGCCGTGGTCTCTGCGGCTCAGCGCCCCTCTCGCCGCGCTCTGTGGCCTCGTGACCCCATCATGCAGCCGCCCTCGGAACTGAGGAGGGGACACGGCCTGGAGGGGGCGCCTCTCCTGAGTGGAGCCCGTTGGCCATCTCCCTGGCCCCGAGGGCAGCCATCGGAGGAGTGCGCCACTTCCCGGGAGAGCCGTGTCCGGAGCGCAGACGCTGGGGCTGCCCGGAACTAGGTGGCGGCACGGCAAGAGGGCCCCTGGGGCCGTTCCTTTCTTCTTCCCGCGGGCATCAGCCGCGCATCTGGTGTGCGCCAGGCCTTGTCCTGGGTCCTGGCACAGGCGGGACGTGAGATAGCCCCAGGCCACAAGGTCCCAAGAGGGCAGTCTGCCGGCTGTGGGAACCCGGTTGGACGGGCCAGCGCTGGGGCCAGGCCAGGCTTCCTGGCAGAGGCAGGTTTGAGCACAAGGATGTTTGAGGAGGCGTTCGCTGAAGGCAGGTGGCGAGTGCGGCCTGGAAGGGAGAACCCAGCAAGGCTGGAGGTGGCTGGCGGGCTGAGGAGGAGCCGGGCTGGCTGGGCTGGGGCCTCTTGGTGCCTGCCTCCTCCGGCTCCCAGCGATGGCGTGTGCTTCTGCCTGCCCTCTTGGCCCTCCAGCAGCTCCCGTGGGCCCTGCCTCAGTGCCCCTAGGCGCTGACCGTGTCGCTCGTGGCTGCCTCCCAAGATCAGGATCTCTTCTCCTAGTTAGCCTTTTTGCCACCTGGCTAGCGGGTGGCCTTGTCTGAGCAGAGCGGGACACCTCTTCTGCCGGGCCCTCCTGTGGCTCCACCTCGCAGCCCTTGGGTGCTGCACGCGTGGGTGCCGTCGGCCTGCGGCTCGCCTGCTGCTGTCCTCGGGGCTCCTCTGCAGGCCCAGGACTGGCTCCGTGTGCCAGGACAGCTCCGGCCTGGGCACTTCTACTCCTGGCCTGGAGCCACCGGCCCACTGGCTCTCCTTGCTCAAGGCTGTGCTCCCCGATCCACAGCTGTGCTCCTCGGATCCTCACTCCCCTCTCCTGCACTGCTCACTGACCGGCAGGCTGTGCACTTCATCTTGTTGCTCAAGCCCCCATGTGGAAAGGCGGTGCTCTGGTCTGTTGTGTTAGCCACTGCATTTCCAGCCTCTGGAGCAGTTTTAGACTTAGCGGACACCAGGATCGCTGAGTCCACCAGAATCATCGGTGAAGGAGCTGGCCAGCTGTCCACAGCCTGGGGCTGGGACCGGGGAGTGACGGGCTTCCTTCTCTCGCCCCTTTCCTGCCGCCGCAGGCCCTCCTGCACGAGTACTTCTTCACAGCCCCCCTGCCGGCCCGCCCGTCGGAGCTGCCGGTTCCTCAGCGTCCCAGGGGCCCTGCCTCCAAGGCCCACCCGGGGCCCTCCCACGCCCATGACTTCCACGTGGACCGGCCCCTTGAGGAGTCCCTGCTGAACCCAGAGCTGATTCGGCCCTTCATTCCGGGGGGGTGAGACGCTGGCCCAGGTCTTGCCGCCCGCCCCTCAGGCCGCCCGTCCCCTCCGCCACCTTCCTGATTCAGCCCTCCTTGGCCTCCCCACGGCCGCACTGGCCCACACCACAGCCCAGCCTGCTCCTTGGCCCTCTTGAGGGCTGGTCTCTAGGAGGTAGAGGTCACACTCCCCGCCAAGGTGGTGGACCTCAGGCTGGCAGAGGAGACCCAGGGCTGTGTGCAGCGAGCCTCGCTTCTTGTGTGCTGCTGACTTGCCTATCAGAGGTCGTGAGCTGGTGCCAGTTGCCAGGGCGCCAAGGTCAAGGTCAAGGACATTGCTGTTAGACCTACCTGGGGAGGCACAGAGCGAGGTGTCCTCTGAGATGATGAAAGCCTCGTGGCTCTGCCACATGCCTGCCTCTCCATTCCTGTCAAGGGGGCGTCACCGCATAGCCCTTGTTCTGGGGGTCCCGGGGAAGGTGACTCAAGTCTTGGCCATGTGTGCCCCGAGGGCTTCCTGTGTGCTCACGTGACTGAGCACTGGCTTGGAAGTGGGGGACAGAAGTCTAGACCCCCAGGGCAGCTCAAGTCCGGGCCGGCAGGAGACCCTCCTCGTGTGAGGCCAGTTCACCAGCATCTAATCCCTCGGGGCGAGGGTGACGGAAGCAGCTGTGGGCGTAAGGAACCGGGCGTTCCTCACTCCCTGCCTTGCGTTCTCTTTGCCACCGCCGAGTCGTTATCTGACATCCTGTCTATTTTACTTCATCTGCTTATTATTCCACACCCGCACCTATGTCAAAAAGGCAGAGCTTTTGGAATTGACTTATTAATTTAATAAAGCCTAATACATTCCCAACCATCTCTTTTTCCTTATTTCAAAATAATTTGGTGATTGTTCTAAAAACATATGGAAACGCAGAGAGTCAAGAGGAGGAGGAAGAACCAGAAGCAGAAGAGGACATGGTAGAAGGACTTACTGTGTCAGACCTCGAGACCTGCTAGAAGGTTGCAAGATAGTTAAGACAGCGTGGGCTTGGCTTGGGGTAGGCAAAGACAGGTGGACTAGATAAGCTTATCTTAGCAACCCTTCACTTTTAAAATGTTTACTTTGCGCTCCTGGTACATGACTCTCCTGTGAGCACCGAGGGAACGGGGTGACCGGCAGTGGCTGTAGCCTCCAAGCGCTCCGTGGGAAGACAGTGCGCAGTGAGCCCCGGTGGCTGCTCTCAGGAAAGTCTGGAACGTTCGCAGCCTGGCCTCTGCTTATGTCTCTACCACATCGCCTATGTGTATGCCCCAGCCAAGCCCCAGTTCATTTCTGGTGTCACTGAATCCAGGCTTGATGTGTTTGGAAGCAGTGGTTTGTGGTCAGCTGATGAAAAACTCATTTGGTGGTTGTCTGTTGATGTCTTAAATCATGGCTGCAAAATCTTGCAAACAGCGTACACTGTACAATTATAACCAGACGCGAGGAGACAAGAACATACACAAACAGCACAAACAACACAGAATAGACTGTAGGTGTTCCAGATAGTGGACTGGCCAGGCACAGACTGTATGCGAACTCTGCTGTGTGTGTCCAGGATGCTTAGTGATTTCTAGGGTAATGACACCGCAGGAAGAGTATACAACTTCCAAAGCGACAGGGGAAAATGGAGTAATGAAAAGTACTCTATGACAGAGGACACAAATTTGCAGCACACAGATAGTATTAAACTAAAAGACATTAGTAATTCAATTGTCAGAATAAATGTTCTAGCTGAGACAAAGATTATCTTGATTAAAAAAATGAAACTGGCATTTCTAAGAAATCTACAATGTACACACCAAAAATTTGCAAGTAAAAGGATAAAAAATAATTTACCATGTACACACAGACCAAAAATGGAGTGTAGTTATTTGTTATTAAACAATGTATTTTAAAGCGTAGAGCAGTTATTTAAGACATAATGAATTTTAAGGCAAAGAACATTCTTGGGGTAGCCACTTCAGTGATAAAATATTCAGTGCATTGGTGAAATTTTAAAATGTATATGCATCTAATAAATGGTCTCATAGCAATATTAGAAATGAATAGGGTTCAAAAGACTAAGGATGTTAGGAATAACTTTATACTTACAACTGTGAAGTTTTGGTGAAATAGACAAATTCACAGAAAATTCAAATTGCAATAAAAAAGAAGTGTTTTAAAACTACTAAAGAACCCTCAAAAATAGCTTTCTAAAATAAAAAATAAGGCCAAGCACAGTGACCCATGCCTAGAATCCCAGCACTTTTGGGAGCCTGAGGCAGGAACATTCCTTGAGGCCAAGAGGTAAAAGCTGCAGTAAGCCACGGTCACGCCATTGCACTCCCGCCTTGGTGACACAGTGAGACCCTGTCTCAAAGACTTTTTCAGACGAAGGCTGAAAGAATTTGTCACAGCTGTCTCACGCTTAGAAGATGGCAGAAGGAAAATGATACCTGATAGAAATTTGCGTTTACCAAAGTAATCAGAAGCACCATACATGATAGCTATTTGGGCAAATATATTGGTCTTTTTCGCGTTATTTAAATATTAAAGATTCTCCAGTGAAGCCATCTGATTGTGACCCTGAACCTGACATTATCCCAGAACATTACCTTGAATGGACACTCACCAAGTCAGACTTGACCTTCAACCTTACTGTGTCCTAGGCTGGACCCTCACCGTGACGGTGACCATCGTCTTCCCCACCCCGCCCTTGACTTGAACCTGAGTGAATTGAAACTTGAACTGCAGCAAACCTGCTCCTGACACAGATCTTTGTCCAGACCTCAACTTGAAGCCGAGCTTTGAGTAAGACCTTGGACTGAGTGACCTGGCCTTGACACTGACCCATTCCTGCCTGTGACTGTCAAATAACACTGTGGGCTCTTCCTCACCCCGACACTGACCTTCAGGCAGAACCCAACTCTCACTGGACCTTCACTCCACCCACCTTGATGTTACCAAGTCCTTGAACTTGACTTTAAACTTGGTCTCTAACCTGAAGTTTAACCTGACATTGATCCTCACTATTATGCTGACCCTCATCCTTAGTCTGATCATTCTGAGTTCTCCTCACCATTGACTTTGAACTTTGACTATAAGCCAGACCCTGACCCATGGTGGTAGGCTGAATGTTGCCCTCGCTCTAACTTGTTAACACGTTGCCTGACATGGCAAAAGGGACTTTGCACATGTGATGAAGGGTGCAGACTTTGAGATGAAAGAGTGTCCTGGATTATGTGGTGAGCCCAGATTAATCACATGCAGAGAGCCGTTCCTGGCTGCAGTGAGAGAGAGGGGAGATGGAAGGAGGAGAAAGACTTGACTCGGTATTGCTGACTTTGGAGGTGGACTCAGGGGCCTCTAGGAGCCGGAAGTGGCTCTTAGCTGGCAGCGAGGAAATGGAAACCTTATTCTTTTTCTTTTTTTTCAGTTGGAGTCTCACTCTCTCGCCCCGACTGGAGTGCAGCGGCCGCTCCCGGCCACACAGCCTCGACCTGCTGGGCTCCGGCGATTCTTCCGCCTCAGCCTTCCGAGTAGCTGGAATTACAGGCACATGCTACCATGCCCGGCTAATTTTTTGATTTATTGTAGAGATGAGGTCTCACCAAGTTGCCCAGGCGGGTCTCGAACTCGTGGGCTCAGGCAATCCAGGAAACCTCATTCTTAAAACCACCTGAAACTGAACTGTGCCAACAACCTTAATGAGCAAGGAAACAAATTCTCCTCCAGCCTCAGCTGAGCTGATACCTTGACTTTGGCCCAGTGAAACTCAAACCAGACTTCTGACCTACAGAACTGTAATAAGTTTGTGTTGTTACAAGCCACTAAGTTTGTGGTGATTTGTTAAGGCAGCAATAGAAAACTAACGGTACTCACAACTGAATTACCTTCAGCTTGAACTAGACAATGATGAAACTCGTGCTTGTCTGACCTAGAACTTAAATTGACCTTAACCCTGATCCTGACATTATTCTCACATTGATCTTGACTTTGAATCTGATGCCGGTCTTCATTCTAAACATTAGCCTTATACTCCACTTGACCCTGGAACGAACCCAGAATCCTATCAGAATTGGACATTCATTATCAACCTGAATTTGACACTCAACCTTATCTCACCCTGACAATGACCATCACCCTGACCCTGACCCACCCTATCTCTGAACTTGACCTTGATCATAAACTGACCCTGACCACCAGGATACTCAATGGCCCTGTAAAGTATCCTCAACCTGACCCCGGTTATGACCCTCACACTCACCTTGATCTTGAACCTAGTCCTGGCCCTAAAACATTCCTCATTCTGATTTTGACTTTGAACCTGATTCTGCCACTGACGGTGTCCCTGACCTCTCACCTTGATCCTTAACCTGACACAGATCTTTACCCTGAACTGAACACTTATCCTCATTTTGAATCTGACCCTCGTCACTCTGTCCCTGATCTTACCCTTGACAGCACCCCAAACTTGACCCGACCTTATATTAAATCTGATTTGAGCTGGCCAGAGCCAGAAACAAGACCAGGCTGAGGTCCAGGGGCAGCACAAGGCTAGCAAAAAAGACCAAGTGAGGGCCTAGGTAAGGCCACAGCAAGAGAGGCAGCAGGTTTAGGGCCAGAGCTTGGGCAAAGTCTAGCAGCAAAGCAAGAGGGAGGCTGAGGGTCATTGTGAAGTTCAGGGTGAACAAGAAAGCTAGGTGAGGGTGGGGGCCAGTGTGAAAGCAAAGTCAGGCCAAGGGTGAGGAAGAAGGCCAGCCCCAAGGTCAGGGTGAAGGTGACAGCCAGGGCGAGTGAGGGCAAATGTACGAGCCAGGGCAAAGACCAGCTTGGAGGCAAGGGTCAAGCTGAGATCCGGTCTAAAGACGAGGGCAAAAGCCCAGCCAAGGGGACACTCGGGTCAGCTACCAGGGCTAGTGCAGGTACCAAGCCCAGGGCCACAGTGAAGGCAAGGAAAGCTCCAGAGCGAGGACGAGGGTGGCGGCAAGGGCAGATGCTCTGGCTTGAGTGTCCCCTCCAAAACTCGGGTGGAAACGTAATCCCCAATACAGCAGTATTGAGACGTAGGGCCTTTAGGAGGGGATCGTGTCACGAGGATGGACCCATTCATGGATTGATGGGAGTGGTATATTAATGGACTAGTGTGTGATGCTGGCAGTAGAGTGGGTGAATTTATGAGAGAAAGAGAGGCATGAGCTTGCACACCCAGCCCCCTTGCCACGGAATGTTCCGTGCTGTCTTGGGACTCTGCTGAGTCTTCCCACCAGCAAGAAGGCCCTCACCAGAGGCAGCCTCTTGACCTTGGACTTCTAAGTCTCCAGGAAATGAATGCCCTTTCCTTATAAATCCCCCAGTTTCAAGTATTCTCTGATAGGCAACCAGACAGACCAAGCAGGGTGGAGGCAAGGGTAAGTCCAAGGACCAGGGTTGGGGCAGTGGGCAGGGACCATAAGCAGGGCCAGAGCCAAGGGTGAGCGGGAGGGCCAAAGCCAGTGCTAGGGAGAAGACCCATGGTAGGGACAGAACAGTGAGTTTGGGACCAGGACTAGGATTAGGACAATAGCCAGGACTTTGCCCTCACTGAGTTTCAGTTTCTCACAGGCAGGCATAGCTTAGGTAATTCAAAGGCACCAGGGCGTGGACTTGTCAAAACATAACTCTCTGAAACAACACCTACACTGAATAGGCCCCCCAGATCCAAGGCCAGAATGTGGGGAGGCTGGTGCACTTAGTTACAGAAACCATAAAACAAGGCGGTAAGGGAATTGCCAGAGGCAGTGCAGCATGGTGTTCCTTAAGAAGGGTTTAATCAGACTGTAAAACAATAACCGTCACCACTCTTTTAAAAATTTCACATGACACAGGTAAACGTATGACGATGAAGAATAGAAGCTTGTGGTCAATAAAGCTTGTGATTAATAGATTGCTACCCACCACGTATTCCACGCAGCACACAGACCTTAGCTTAAGGAACAGATTGTTTAGTCATCACTAAGAAAAATGGGCAACGCACTCGGCTGCCAGCAAGGCTGTGTGCCCTTTCTCTCAGGCACCCACGTCCTCTCGTGGACATGCTTCCTTTTCCTGCCTAATAATTCCTGTCTTAAATTATACTTGAGTTGCTGTGAAATTCATGATTTTGTTCTTTTGTACGGGTGCATAATATTCCATTGTGTATATGTACCACATTTTAAAAATCCAGTCCTCTTTTGATGGACAGCATGGTTGGTTCCATGATTTGCTATCGTGAACAGTGCTGTGATAAACATACGTGTGCAGGTATCTTTTTGATAGAGTGATTTGAGTTCTTCAGGGTATATTCCCAGTAGGGGGATTGCGGGGTCATATGGAAGGTCGATTTTTAGAGCTTTTAGGAATCGCCACACTGATTTCCACAGAGGCCGCACTAGTTTACACTCCCACCAACAGTGTAGAAGTGTTCCCTTTTCACCATCTGGATGGAACTCGAACTCGAGTCTATAATACTGAGTGACCTCTCACAGAAACAAAGATCTGAGTATCACATGTTCTCACTCATATAATGGACCTTGAACAACTATCGTTATTACTATAAGAAGAGGATTGACAGTGGCGGGCAACTATGGGGGGGTGCAGGGAGGGGAAGGGAGGTGAGATTAATGGTAGTCAATATCTGTGGGGGGG